GACTTTGTAATACAATTTATGCTGTCATTCATAAATAACAGTGCCATATGTCAACCATATTGCTTACACAAGTAAATCCGTCAACGTGTCATTATTTGATTTATCTCAACAGATTCCTCAAATATTGAAGTATATGTATTGAAGGGGCGTGAAGAGGGGACTACCCACAAAATTGTAGATTTAAGAAAACCTATGACACCGCCTCTGCTCCCCCTTTATCCCCCATCCAAAAACATCCTAAAGGATAAAGAATGAAGGGGAGAAGAACACATCCTGGAGCCAATATAAATAATATTGGGTGGTTATCGGAACAGTGAACACATAAGGGAGCTTTGTGGTTCCTGTTTTGACCTTATAAGCACATTTAAAAACACAACAATTAGGCATTTCCCAAGAAATTACCAATCCTAACGGTCAAATGTGGATCACAGGCCGTTCTGCAGCTATCCCCATCTCTGAGGGTAAAAATGATTGATAACCAAATGAGATTATTTGATGACAGGCCAATTTTACACTGCTTATTTTTTAGTAGTGGGGAAGTAAAGAGAGCCATAATTTTTCAAGGGCTTTTAACCACTAAAGTCAGGTGGACATGGGATGCATCCAGTTCTTGGCTATCTACCACAAACAAACAAACCCCAAACTCAGGGAATCCAGTTTCAGTCAAGGCCACACAGTCCCAATCTTATGCTTAAAACAACAACAAATCCTTATTGAGTCCATGTACATGGGACAGGGATCACAAACTTTAGCAAAAATAGCAAAAAGCACTTTTTTTGGTTTCTCAGCCCCATTCGTATCCATGGAGCCTGCGGATTCAGCGCGAGCTCAGCAAGGAGGAGAAAAGAGGCAACATTTATACAGGCGCTCAGAGGGCTGCGGCGCTTCAGTGTACGCAAGGCCCCTGGGCTGGGTCGCAGCTCCCACAGGATCAGAACGCTGGTGGTGAGGGCGGGAGGGTGAGGATTTGGTCCCTGCCGAGTGCAGGCGGGGCAGGCAGCCGGGACCCTCACCGCCTAGACGCCTGGGGAGCCTGATTTGGGAGAATCCCTCGAACCCAAGTTCTCATCACTTCCGGCTGTGACAAAGCTCAAATAAAATGCAGCTGTGGTCCCTTTTGCCCACTTCATCTTGGCTTTAGAGAGTTCTCGAGTGTATCCCCCCTTCTTTTCCAGTGTCTACTAGTAACCCTCCTCCCAGCTGAGCACCCACTGGTGCCCTTGGGCTAGGCTTCAAAGTCCTTGGATCCCTCGGGTAAATTGGGGCACCGTGTTCGCCCTTGAACCGGCCTCTGACGCGGCCCAAATGGCACTTGGCGCTCCAAATCCGCCGGGCACACAGCCCTTCTGCAGGGAGGCCGCCCTCGCGGAAACCACTCGGGACGACCGAGCCGTAAAGCAATTGCAAGGGCTATAAAAGGCAGCTGGGTGGGTCCTCCAGCTCTTTTCTTGACCACCTCACCGTCCTCAGCTTACCCCCTCCCCCCGCCTGCAGAAACAATCAAACAAAGGCTCAAAAGCCAGGAAATGTCCAATTCACTTCCCTTAGAGTTTATTAATTGCCCACACCCATAGCAAGGAAACTTGGCTGTGTTCAGTGACGAACGGAGGGCACCGGGGAACCGCAGTCCCCCTCCACGCAGCGGGAAGTCGTTAGCACCAGCCTAGGCATCTCCAGAGAGCGCGGCGTGGCCGCGGGGTTCAGGCCAGCTCGGCGTTTACTGTACCTCTCAGCCTCCTCGCGCCTTTGTTTGGGGGCTGGGAGGAGGTTGGAGTTCGAGGTGCAACCGTGAAGTCTGGAAATTGATGCTCCCCTAAGAGCACCTGTTAACTCCAGAAAGGCAATTTCCATGAGTTGCTAGGTTGCTGTCCTCACACAAGCACCTCTGTTGCAAAAGCGCAGACTAAGGCAAGAGTTTTGCGGATAAGCCCTGACGGCCTCCACCACCGCGAAAATGTGGAGCTAAATCCACAGAAGGAGAACTAGCATAACGGCTTCTATAGCCCCGCTTTTCTTTTGGTAAACCAGTATTATTTTATTCAAAGCCCTGGAAATTGTTGGTGTTTATTTAGAGGTGTGACACAGTTATTGGGTCCTTAGAAACTCGGGATGTTAAGCAGGTTTGATTTGGCTTCCAAATGACTTGAAAAAGAAACAGCGCACCTGGGGTCAGGCGGGTCATCACAATAACAAAAAGCGCGTCTACAAAATAAAAAGCTCTTTTATAAAGAATGGCAATCCCGGAAATCCACTGCGAGCCTTCCTGATGACCATCTAGCTAGGCCTTTTCTCAGGTTTAATTGGCAGGCGGTTTATTGGCGCCTTATTGGTGTTGATTGAAATTTTGGTCCCAGTTCTTTCTTTTAAGAATTAGCATCTCAAGTCGGTTTACCTGAGTCAATTATCCTTTTAGGGTCTGGGTTTGGTCACAAATTTGCAAATATTCATTAAACGCGCTTTATAAATATCCCTCTTTCCAACCGCCACCCAAATCTCTTATTTCCTAAGAAAGTCTTTTATTCTTTAAGGCTTCCATAAAAAGAAATTGATCAAGGAGATATATTTGAATTAAGACATATTAAATCGATGACAGATACATATCACGCTGTGTTTAACAAGAGTTGTACAAGGAGGCGGGTTCCAGATTCCGCATGGCTCTGCTGCACCATTATTCACATTTTTACAGCCTTTCCTTCATGCCTTCACTCATTAAGCCATTAAATTTCAGCAATTCAATAAAACAAAGCAGTTATAATTTTGAGGAAAAGCTATTTTGAAGGGGTGGAGGTACCCATTTTATTGCACAATAAAAATGCTCTACAGTCCATATTAAAGGCTAGATTGTGTTTATTTTCTTCCTTCCTTATTCATTCTTTTTGTTTTGCTTTTACTTATAACCTGTAGGATTGAACGCAAAGCTGCCATTATGGAAGTATTGACACTCATTGTCAAGAAATACAAATAAAAGGAATGCATTTGAAATGTTCTGAGAGGAAACGAAGACAGTGGTGACAATTGCAAATATGATGCTTTCTCCATAAAACAGCCATAGAGATGGTACAGCCTTTGCCCCACTTCTGCCTGGTTGGCTTGAGATATTTTAAGTCTTTGAAACGAAGATTGTGAAAGGACTTGTCCTCTTCAGTTACAGATGTGGATTTTATCACTGTTGTTTCTTAAAATTTTTTCGTTGTGTTTGCATTCATGCCTTTATTTCCCCGCATTTGAATTTCATTGAAATTTAAAGAAGAAAGCCCATTTGAAATTTGATTGTACTGTTTTCTTTGTTTGGTTGTCAGTTTAATAAGAGAAATGACATTCCCCAGGCTCACAGGGAAGTTCCCTGTTAAACATTGTTCACACCAAGTAAATGGGGCTATCGAATCAGCTCTTTTGAAAATATTTCTTACCTCTTCCCAGATGATGGCTTTATGCAGTCTAGTTCTACTTGGACTGAAAACGAATTAAGCTAGTAACATGTTTTATGGACCCCCAAAGGAAAAAAAATCACACTTTAGTCATTATCACTTTGTTTACAAATAATTTTATGCAGAACAGCAAAATAAAAATTAAAAATCCTGGTTTTAAAATTTGAGCCTCTTTGGAACATCACAAAGATTTAAGATACTTCATTTTTAAAAGCTGACGTGACACGTTAGGGCATTAAGAACTGTAAACTTCAGGGGGATGCCACATTACTCCGCCAAAAGTGATGCAGGAACCTATTTCTTTTTAAACTGATTTGATGGCAAAAAGAAAGATACGGGATTCGCTTTTTTTAAAGACAATTTTCATGGTCTTAAAGTAAGACATTTCTCCTGCAAGATCAGTTTATTAGAAAACGATAACATGGTAAAAGGTTATTTATTCTGTTCTTAAATAGTGACGCTATTTCTTGCTTTTAAAATAATTATTTTCTTGTATAAATTCTAATTTGTGGTCCTTTCGAAGAAATTGAGGCACACATGTGAATGCGTTCTGGACCGGAAGGAGAAATTCTGTTTAAAGATACTGTTTACTTAGCCGCTTTCCTCTAGAGAGATGATGTTTGGCCTGCCCTGCCACTGTATCTGCCAGAGGCAAAAGTTAGAATCTTTGCCCGAGGTTTTTCCCCCGGTAGATCTAATTGGAAGTGGCAGATCTAGAACCGATGAGCAGTGAGATTACACTTCGAGCCAACTCTTTTGAAGCATGTTGAAAAGGGCTCCATGAGCTAAAAAGTCGAGGTAAAACGGTTCCTTTGGGGGAAAGGTTTATTTTGACTTCACTTGTTTTGCGGAGCCAAATCACTCAAATTGTTTTTCAACCAATAGGTCTTTAATATCCTTCCTCATTCCGTCTCCTATCTCTGAGTCCTACGTGAGCGTTTGGCAGACTGGGTATCCTTCCCAAATAAGAAATTTCTAACATCACCTCTACAAGCACGATGACGGGCGAACATCTGCTCACCCGCCTCCTTCAGAGAGCAACCCAAGGCGCTTCCAAAGGAGGAGGTAGAAAGTATTTGAATGTTGGAAGGGACGCTGCGTGCGGTGAAGCGGCGGTTTTTGAAGTTGGGTCTCCTCCCCCCGCCTTTTGTCCCCGGGGGGTCACCAGCCCTTAGCCACCCGGCGCCCTTCGGCCGCGTGCCGACGCACGCTCTCTGCAAGAAGCGTCAGGGAAACGCAGAGCTCTGCGCGCGCACGCCCAGCGCAAACTTTCTGCAAGTGCAACTTGGGCATCCCCGGGGAGGCGGGGACGCAGGGCTCCAGAGAAGGAGGGGGCGCGAAGCGAAAGCGAAGGCGGCCGCGAACACCGGGGCGGATCCCCGCTGGGCCAAGGGCCTGAAAGGGAGCCAATCGGGCAGCCGCGGCTGCTGCCAATCACGCAGCTCTCTCCAATCCCACCCGTGCCATTTCCAAAATCTCGGTCCCACTGTGCAGCTCAAATGTGGTGTTCGTTCTGCCAATCGCTGGAGGACAGAGTGGGAACAGGAATAAGCAGAGTTAGGAGGCTAGGACAAAGAAGTTAAAGAGTGCCTAATATATACATGTTTTTGGAGGTGGGCAGAAGGGGAAAAAGTACCCACAGTGAGGGTCTATGGGTCTGACTGTGTAGTTCTGATGGAGCCCCCTTTGAGCAAGAGGAACCTGCCAGCGCTGAGATTAGTGGATTTGGCAGCGGCTCAGGCCAGGCCTCTTCAGACTATGACAGGCTTCCCGGCGCTGGCCAGCCCACCAGCCCACTCCCAACTCCGCGCCACAGCCTCGCACCTCCGCCCTCGGGACCTGGGTGCTGACCCCGGCGTGGCCATCACTACGCTCGGACCCGAGCACATGGCCAAGGCGAGCACGCTCGGCCTCAGCCCTC